TGCCTCACAGAGTCCTGACACATGCAGCTGGATTGGACAGCTTGATAATCGAGGGGGATGTCATTCCAGCTCGAGCTATAAATGGAATATAAGAGTTCAGGGCTTCATAAGATCAAGGAACTTCAGTGGCTTTTTTTCTCCCTCTTTAAAAACCCAGACCATCTCCCTGGTCATTTTTATGCGTGCAAAGGAGAGGGAAATACAACAAGCCCAGTTTCAAATCTACTGCTGACATTCACATATGGATTGAATGGTTCTTTTTCTCATCAGAACTTCAGTTCTGCTTAAGCAATAAATCTTCGTTCTTTTCTTCCCTCCCCTTTCCCCCCATGCCATGGATAGCACTCCAGGAGGATTTGGTTTCAAGTAAGTATTTTGACTTTCATGGTAGGGAAGATCATTATTTTCCAACCTAATTTGCATCTCTCCCTACAGCCCCTCATTCCTCCTCTGCTTCCTTCTTTTTCAAGGAAGTGTTGATCAAGCAAAGGCTCTGGGTGTTTAAAAATAAAGCAGACAGATATGGAAAACACTGCAGTACCTTCAGCCAAGGCATCTCTCTCCCTGACATGACCCTGAGTGTCTCTCAGGAGTTATTATTCCTTTCCATCATGGTAAGACTGTGTTTAAATTTGAAAATTGTTTCCTTTAATCTTTTTCTTATTTTTTTTTTTCTTCTCCTAGGGATAAGTTGTGCCCTATTAGAATGTGGAGATCAGCTGGATTTTGTCTTCCCACATGAAAGGTTTCCTTTTGTAATGTATTTATTAATGGAAACTGGCCATCGGGCCAAGGAGGCATTTGTGGCCTGTTTTCACCTTGTTTGCCTGCCTATCCTGTGTCCCTTGTCCATCTTTCCTCAGTCTCCTCCCTGCTCCCCATGCTCCCCAGGAGACACAACTTTCAGGATAAGATGGCTTTTCTGTTTTCGGAAGACTTTTTCCTGCACAGAAAAAAAACCCCAGCTTCTAACTCTGCCAAACCTGATGGTTCCCCTGGGTGTGCAAGATTGAGATTTTCTGCAGAAAAAAATCCAGGAGTTCTGCCTGTTCCTTCCTTCTCCAGCAATCCCTCTCCCATTTACTCCCCAGACCCCTCAAGTTCTGTGCTAGTAAGTGCGAGGCGTTTGGTGGGGCCCTTATTTCTGTCTCATGAACTATACTGTGGAGTGTTTTGTAACTACAAGTTAAAAGCCTGAAGGCCTAGGCAGACACCTATGCATCCAAAGTCTGACAGGATATCCAAGGACTTCCATTTTAGTTTAATGTGTTTTAAGGAAAGTAAACTTAGGAAAAAAAATGCACACCAAAAAAAAAGGGATGGAGAATGGCTAAGGGTGTGTTTTCATGTAAGAAAACCTGTGCTCAGAGCTCTGCTTTGTTACAGCCCACGACCTTGAGCAAGAGACTTCTTGGAAGTTGAGTCATCCCTTTTGAATCAATAGATCTACACTGATGGATCTAATTTGAAGCCTTGGCTCAGTTTCTGCTTTAGGGAACACAGACAAGGAGAGATTTAATTCCCTATTTCTCTGCCTGTAGGCCAAAGCCTATGATGTATGAGCTCTGCTGGGTGCCTCCACGGTGCTTTGTGGAGGGATCCCTGCTCTGCCAGTCTGGTTTTGGGATGGTGGTAGCATGGACTCTCCTGCAGCGCTGCAGGAGCCTGTAGGGTGTCGTTCCCTGAGGGGCCTGGTGGCAGGATGTCCAGTGATGCTGATGGTTTACATTGCACAAACCAAACTCCAGTGAAATCCAGTGAGTGGGTCCTGGAGGTGTAACTTGGGTAGAAATAGTCTAAAACAATTTTTATTCATCACTGCACCTGTGAGAACACCAACAGCAAAAAAGAACCAATGGTGGTCTAATAATTCCTGTGGTCACCTGAGATTTCCACTGAAATAAGCCTGAAAGCTGCCATCAAATGTATTTTTAAGATGAGGACAGGATTTCTGAAATGAAGGATGAACTTTATGCTGTCTCTGCATAATGTAGATGTGTCTGGATGTGCTTCATTCTGCCAGTAAAGAAGATTTTGTGAGTTGCTGACCCAAAATAATTGTATATTGATCAGATGAGAAGATGAAAGAGGTGCAGAGGAGGATGGCAGGTCCTTATTTCAACTGCTGGATTAAGGATTTGGACCCAGTCAGTTTTCTGGTCTTGGCACAGAACATCATAGATTTATCTGCCTTTCTGGTCCAGTTTTAAGAGGAGGGACCTGTCTTGGGTTTCCTGTAGCCCAGGGAGCCAGGCCTCTCTCCAGGAGAAAGGAGACATGCAGTGAGGTAGAAGACAGGGTGTCCCATATTTCGGGGGACCATGAAAGCCCTGGAGCTGTTGGATTAAAGGGTGAGTGCTTCTGCTTCTGCTCTGTTTCACAATGATCTCCCGTTGAGACTTTTGCCTTTTGCTATTGTCTAAAATGCCTGTAAATGCAATTAACTTCCCATGTGTATTTTTGAGTTCATGGCAGGATGCCAGATCAAGCACCAGGGGAAATGTTGATCACTCAAAAGGCTCTGGTGGGAGTCTGCTTTCAGGCAAGGTGTGAGAATAGAGACTGTTTACAAACACCTAAGTATAGTCAGCATATTCCTATCTTTTCTTGGAGCATATAGCAGAAATGTGACCCATGCACACTTATCTGCTATCATTTCAGCTGTCCAGTGTGTTTTCTCTTTCCAGTGATCAACTCCCATCTGACACCTGCTGCTGTTAAATATTTGCTGTGTTCCTCTTCTGAAGATTGGGCGGCTGCAATGTCAGCAGGAAAAACTGCAAATGTACAATTTACCATTTGGCAAGCAGTGATCTCTGAGAAAGATTGCAGTGGTCTGAAACAACCACCTACTTGATTGAGCCCGTTGAGTGGGAAGTGCTCCTGTTATCCAGAGTTACAGGAATTACAGGGACACTCACAGAGAAGTGTTTTGAATGCAAACAAGGGAGGTTCAATGAAATTTAAAACTGATACATGGAAATGATGGTTTTTTTCCAACACCAGTTTAATTGTGCACCTTGTTGCTGGAGGACTATTTGAGGCCAAAAACCTTATGAGATCCAGGAAGGAACTGGGAATTTAGGCAGTTATTAGGAATATATGAGTTCCTATAATTCATAACAGATTTGGAAAGAATATGTAATACGTTTTGCTGTGCTTCAGCATTTCTTGAACTGATAGAGACTGGGTGCATTTTTCCACACCAAGATGCTGCAGAGACCCTTGTGTTTTCTTAAACATGTAATTTTGGCCATAAAAGAGAGAGGAACTGCTGGTCCATTTCACCTCAGGCTTTAAGTCAGACACCCAGGATCCACTGTCAGCAAACTTTCAAGATCTCGGCTTCAGCTGTAATTCTGTGTGCAGCGGGGTGCCTAATGAATCTGCTAATGATTTGGCTTTTTCAGTACTCAACGTGGAAGCACTTTCAACAAAAAGCAATCCAAGCTATCCAAGATGCAGCTGCAGGACACCCTGATAAGCTGCAGAAACTCGTGTAGAAGAGAGTCAAGCCCAATAAACAGCCAGGTCAACACGTTTTGGAGGTCTTGGTCTGAGGAGGGTGCCCTGTCCCCAGGAAGGTGGGGCAGGTTTGGGAGCAGGGCACAGTATGAGAGGAGATTGTTACCATCAGACAGACAGGGATTTGCAGGTGATAGGAAATAGGGATGAACACTGGGAACAGCTTTATATAATGGCACAAAGGTTGGATTACATGCACAAATGAAGGGCTCTGTTGGCTCGGGGGAGGAGATGGGTATGTTTTGGAGGGAGGATTTGCCTCTTGGCTCCTTCCAGTGCTGTATAAGGCATTGCTAGCCTGAATGTAGCCAGGGGCACAAAGCACTCACAGGGCAGTGTAGGCTGAAGTCAAACCTCGCTGAAGGAGAAGGCAGAGGAATGAGTATCTAAAGAAGGGGAAAGAAGGCACCAACTGGTGTGCCACATATAGCCTGTGGCTGACTTAGCACTTGTGCCATGTTGCCCTCCTGCTCAAGGTTTTCTAATTTTGTCCCCGATGATGTCAGTGTCCCCCAGCAACTGGCAGTGGCACATACAAGACATTCCTCGGAGAGCCTGCGTGCATCTCCGCCACCCCCTGCCTTGCCCCAGGAGGGCTGACTGCAGGGGGAGCCGCTTCCTCAAGGTGTGCCCGCTTCTCAGTCTTGCTGGATGACTTGGGGGCTGCCTTCAGCTCACGTTCAGGGGGCTCACCTTCCCCGCGCCATCATTCCCTCAGGAAGAAAGTGTCACCCAAGTGCTCTTTGCAGTTTGCTTTCCACTGTACTGTAAAGCTTTCAGTCATTCTCTTGGCACCTCGGGTCCCTTGGCATGAGCACCCGTTTATAGATCACCCAGCAACCAGGCTCTGAAATGCAAGTGCTTGGCTAAGTGTAACAGTGATATGCATAAGCAGGGCTGCAGTGGAGGCAGACTGTGTGAATCCCACCAGGCAGGACTCTCTACCAAGGAAAGCATTAACTGCTGGGCCTGGAGGGGTCCTATGGAGTTTTACACATAACGTTGGGTACTGGATAAGCTGTTAAACTCTGTGTGCTCTCTCACATTGAATGGGATAAAATCCCCCTTGGCGCTGCTCTGGGCAATTGGGATTCCTGTGTCTTCTTCAGGGCTCCACAGCCTGTTTGTGAGCTGCATACTTCCTGCCTTTCCCTTCCTCTCTTTTCCCTGGAGCATGCAGCAGAGGAGTTAAATTACTGTCCATTTAAAATGAATTGTGTCTTTCTTAGGTCCCATTTTAATCTACTAGGAGATGGAGTGACTTCAGGCTTGGAAAGGGAATTGAAGGAGAGTTCAGGATATGATCCATAGTCCCCACATATCTGCATTACCTGGAAGGTTTAATTGTGACTTAAAGGGTATTAACCTCTTCTCTTTCCCATTTTTATTCCCCCCCCCTTTTTTTTTTCTGATTTCTGTTAGGGATCATCTGGGCTTGAAATCTCACATAACTTAAATGTCCGATTTGCTTTTAGGAAATCTGGCACTGTCACAATCTACACCTCTTCTTCTCATCAGCCATCAATAAGACTTCTCAGTGACTGGAGGTGTGGATGACTTGCAAGACTTGGAGCTTGGAGATGTGAGCATCACTTTGAGATCATATGTTCTCTGTCCTTGTCACTGAAGTCCTGTCTCTGCCAAGCATGCAATCTGCATTTGCCTAAATACTGCTAAATGCCCAGACACACCAAAATGTGTAGGTTTCAGATACTACTTGTGCATTTTGAATCATATCCATGAAGAGGATATTCTGTGGGGAGAGGGGCTACAACTACATTATCATATAACTAATCATATTATACATATTTCAGAAAACTGTTTTAAGAATGCAAGTAGCATTGTCAAGGCTTATTAAGCCCTGACAGAGATCCACACAAATGTCTGGAATATAATCTGTTCTGTGGTTGCCTGAGAGGACACAAATGAGCATAAAGCATTTGATGAGCTCCTCCTTTATCATGAATCACTATGACAGTGTTTCTGAGCATCCTGTGTAACACGTGTCTGTACGCAGAGAGCTGACATGGAAAGCTGGAGCTAACGTTTTGCATTGGAGGTTTGGGGGTTTGAGGCCGTTGTGTCTGTTGTTCCTTGTGGCACCCCAGCTGTAGCATGCTTCTATAACTGATGCTGTGCCTTTGGTCCAGCCTCCCAGCCATCCCAGCTCAGTGCTGCCCGTGGACTTTCATTCTTCCATAGAGTTAACAGGTATTTCCTGGTGATTTTCATCCCCAGTGCCAGTTTCCTCCAGCCAGTCGGGGGTAAAGAGCCTCTTTTCATAAATGTCACAAGGTGATGATGTGGGTCCCTTAATGCTTTTAGCTGGAGAGGGGAGACTTAGAAACCAGTCAAGCTGCAGTCCAAGGGGACAGAGCACACTGTTAGCTTCCAACTGCTTCTCACAGGAGGTAGGAAGGTCTCACTGTAGCCGGTGGATAAACCTGGCCAAGCTGTTTAAAACTGGCTGTGACGGTGCTTGACCTTCTGTGCTGTGCTCGTAACATTTTTGTGTTCCCTCTGTGTGAGAGAAAACAAACCTTGGGGAAGCACTGTGAAATCTTCCCGTTGAAGCTGCTCGTGGGTGCAAGCCCGTTTTTTGGGGAGCAGTGATGTAGACACAAGAAATGTCTCTCCTCCAGGGTCTATCAAGTAGCTATGGTGGCTTTAAATAGACCTCTGCTGCTGAACCCCTTATTTAGCTGTAGGGAGGCAAGTGACATGGTGATGCTCAAGAATGTCACTTTGCTTCTTGTGTGACTTATGAGATCAGGGGTTGTTAATGGGAAATACACACTAACTCTCACAAAAGGTGCTGCTGGATCCAGGAACTGGAGATCCTGTGGGGCTGGGTGAGATGGCAGAGTACAAGGGCTGGAGGACCCCCTGGAGGAGGTTGTCCCTATGAACATCCTAAGAAAGCTTTCTGTGCCTGGTGTGGCCTCTTAAAGAGTGATACGAGCAAGGCTTCAGATTCAGCCCCTTCTGCCTGAACAGCCAGCCCTGAGAGCTTTTCTCCTGCCTGTTAAACTTCTGTGAGAGTCAGCTGCTTTGCAATATGACGTGCTTCACAGCTGCCAGTGAGAGGCTGATGACGTACGTTAGAAGACTGTTACTCCCGAAGGTAGTTCAGAAATGTCTGTTACTTTTCTTAAATATTTTTGTCCCAAACTCATCATCCCAAGCAACTCTGTTAAGCTGATAGAACTGGAACAATTGGCTGTGGGCTGCTCTGGGTGTGACTTTTAACCCTTTTTGCTTAGAGGGTTATTTCTACCTTCCTGCTTGAGAACTCTTGGATCATAGTAGTGGGAATAGCATGTACAGCTGGAGCCCAAGTGCCAAAGCTGATTTGGGTGAGTGTTTGTGGCAAAGACAATTTAAATGACAGTGGTAAGTACAGTGGAAGAGGTCTTCAGTTCCGTAGTTTTGAAGGCTCTGAAATAGGTGGGAGATTGGATCCTGAAACACACACGCCACGCTCATGACTTCTTTAAATTAGCTGTGCTGCAGTGAACACAAACCAGTGCTTCTCCTTCAGAAACTGTTGTGAAATCATTTTGTGTATGTTCTGATTTGCCCTTTTGAATGTTATACACAGGTAATGACTGATCAAGATGTTTTATTAATCCTTATTGTCCTTAAGTGAATTGGCAGGGATGGAGGAGATTGTTTAGATTTGAATTACAAGCTTTTGGGAACCTAGCCTTTGTGCAGCAGTTACAGAAAGATACCATCTCCCAGTTCCAGTGCTGTTCCCTGCAATGGGTGTGCAGGTTTCTTATTACAGTAAAATCATATTGAAACCATAATGAGATAATTGGGGAATGTGAGAATCAAGGCATCTGGAAATACAGCTTTGGCCATCCAACCTTTCCCTTGTTGGATGTGTCTTCCTAAGGATGGGAAGTGATGTCACGTCAGCAGCCCCCTGCCAGTGCCTCTCTTCTCCCTCTTCCTGAGTTGGATGTCAGTTTAGCACAGCCTTTCCAGGGTGGCTTGAAGAGAGGGGCTGCTCTGCCTTCAATAATGACATAATAACCAGCGGGAGGTGTGAGGCTGGAATGTCGCATTTATGCCTGCTGCTGATGTTGGAGTTGGAGATATGTCCTCATTTGTGGGTTTTATGATCTGCAAGCAATTGATACTGTCTCTTTTAACATTAGATTGGGCTTTTATAATTTTGGTAGTACTTAAAGAGCTGTAATCAGCTCTGTCTGCCGTGGGGTTTAACACTTCATATGAGGGTGCTGATAATCCTGGGTAGCACACTTTTTTTTTCTCTATCTGAGGGTGGTGAATGCTGAAAACCACCATGCCCCCACTCCAAGCACATGTAACTTATCAGATCTGCTTTCTTCACAGTAGAGTTCAAAACTGACATTTCCCAATTAATAATTAACTTGACAAGTGTGTCTCATCCCACAGTCCTGTCTTTTCAAAGGGAAGGAGAAAGCTGAAACCACAGCATGGTTGTGAGCCTTTGCTCTTCTGGTCTTTCTGCTTGCTGGAAGGAGAGGAGTGGTGTATTTATTGCAGCTGCAGCTCAGTATTAGCCAGATGAAGAAAACAGTCCAGCAGAAAGTGGCAGTGGCAGCTCCTGGGATAAGACAACATCTGCTGTGAGGAATGTGTTGTTGGCAGCTTCAGCGACTGGGGGTTGCTCTTCCCTCTGATGCAGACCTGATTTCCCTGTCAGCCTTAGCTCAGTGAGGAGGATGCTAATTGTTATTTACTGGCCAAGGATTTCAGTAGTCACAAGTGATTTTCAGAGACCAGTCTTGGGTTTTCAGAAAGTCACGAATACTCTACTCTTATGAAAAAACCAAACCACCCCACGGCCTCCTTTCATGGAATTTTAAGCTGAACATCCTCCAAATCATGGTATCTCAATTCACTTCATTTTGAAGATCCATTACTACAGATGGGTTTCTAAAGAGCAACTCACAGCTAAGGTTGCTTCTAATGATGTCTCAGGGGCCACAAGAATGTCTAGCACACTGTGTTGTGTGTTGCATGATTAGAGTTTAAATTAGGGGAAAAAGATCCTAATGGGAAACAGCGGTATGGTGAGGATACAAGCAAAGACACAAATACAACCAGGCAGTCTGGTAAGTGGGTTCAGTGCATAGGGAGAAGGTTTATGCAGACAAAAGACATCTGATTGGGGAGAATAATATTAGGATTTATTACTAGTAAGATAAAAACTAAAGGACTTTATGTACGACAATTCTAATTAGGCAAAAGTGCTATGTATTTACAGAAATACCCCTCCCCCCTTGTATCAGTTCAGGAGGAGAAGCAGTCTGTTTTCTGTTTCCAGAGCTACAGGTCTTTTAAATAATTTTGCAGCACTTGAAAGTTCTTCTTTTATTATCTCTGGGATGACAGCTCCGATTCGTCACAGCTGGAATTGTCTTTCTTTCTCTCTCTCTCTCCCTCTCTCTCTCTCTCTCTTCTATGTTGACCTCAGGCCTGGGCTTACCCCCTCCTGGGATAAGACTGGAGGCTGGGGGGTTACCCGGGCCCTGTGGGGTCTTCCATGGACTTCAAGGGGACATTTGCCTCACCATGGTCTTCCCACAGGGTCACAAGGGATAACGGCTTTTGAGTCCACCCCTGTTTCTTGTGGGTTCCCTCCTCATGAGAGACAGTCCTTGATGGACCTCTCTAGCACGAGTCCAACCTTCGGGCAACAGTTCTTCCATTCCCTGCTGTCCCTCAGGGTCACAAATTCAGCTGCACCAGCCTGGATCCCTCCCTGGGATCACAAGATCCTACCCAGGCAGACTGGCTCCAGCGTAGGTCTCTCTCTCCAGAGGCCACGGGTCTCCAGCACCACAGAGCCACATCCTCTTCATGCACTCCTCTGCTTCAGCTTAGGCTCCTTCATGAGCTGCAGAGGGGGGTTTCTGCTCTCCAGCAATCATCTACAGGTGGCAGGGGTTTTTTTAGTTTTCAGTCTCTTCCCTGCTGAAGGGAGAGAGAGAGAGGGGGAGAGAAGGAGTTTCCCCCCCTTCGGGCTTCTCTCTCCTCTGGCTGCCAGCTTTGACCTTGGAGGCTCCATTATCTCTCTGCCAGAATTCCTTTTGCAGCATGTCTTGTCCAAGTTCTTCTCTAAAGTTTTTTTCTCTACTCTGTTACAGGAGAGGAGGGGGCCTGGCCTGCCCTGCCTGGACCAGACTTGGCCCGGGGTGGGGGGCGCACGCCCCAACAGGGCCGGCTGCTACGCTGGCTCTTCCATTTTCTTCTGTGCCACAACCCTTCTCTTCCATTTTCTTAAATATGTAATTGGCAGAGGCGTTACTAAAACTTCTGATTGATTTTGCTCTGGAAATCCACCTGGAAAAAACTATTTTCAACCCGGGGGGGGCCAGTTGATAAACCCACAACACCATCCCAGAGTTGTCATGAGGCAAAAAAAGTGCTCAACCTCTTTGGAAAACAGAGATATGGAGAATTTTATTACTTCCAGTTCACTTTAAGAAAATCACGGTTCGGTTTGGTTTCCAGCTCCCCGTTTCAGGGTCAGAGAAGACTCCTAGTATGCCTTTTTTTTTTTTTTTTAAATGTATTTGCTCC